CAAATGTTTGCTGTATAAACTCTCCCCACAGAGCACTCACAGTACCTTGTATATTTTATACTTAAGTATATTTAAACTGAGACTTGCTGTATTTTGATGCTCAGTAGCCACAAAAGCAAGGGCTTAGGGCAGTGATGGCAGGCCTTTTAAAGATGAGGTCCAAACTGTAACCCAAAACCCACTTGCTTATTGCAGAGTGTTGACCCTGCAATTAAACCTGAATGCTAAGGTTTTAGTATAGAAAACACAACTCACACATTAAAACCTTTTATCAGGCCAGCCAAATAGCTCAGCGGATTAAAGCGCCTACAAGCAGGCACAGAGGCTGGGGGTTCAATCCCTAGGCCTGCTGTGCTGGCCCTGCCCCCAGAACACACTGAGATGACAATTGAGTCTGGGTGTGGTGACAAACGCATGTAATCCCAGCTCTTGTGAGGCTGTAAACAGGAGGAGCACTACAAGTCTGATCTAGTAGTAAGACCCCATAGACCCTTCCTTAAAAATACAAAAAAAAAAAAAAAAAAAAAAATCTTTTGTTTTAAAAGGAAAGCAACTTAGGGTATTAACAGTATAAATCTAGAGGCCTCATCAGATCAGGCTCAGTGCTTTAGGTGAGGACAGTTCCATAATGGGTAGAGGCCTCTCCTGGGATATTAGAAGTTGATGATAGGTACCTAAATACACTCAGTCAAGGTAGAAAAAGTAAAGGTAGTCTTCCCCTGGTCAGTTACTTGATTACACTGAACTACAGTTGTGAAGTTAAAAGGTATGCTGAATGCTTGATTCTTTCCTCATATTGACTTGTGCTGTTGGTTGGTCGGTCAGTTGGTGGGTTCATTGGCTTTGTTTTTATTTTTCTTCTGTGCTAAGGATGGAACCCAGAGGCCCACACATGGTAGGCAAGTCTTCTGCCAACCAGGTATACCTCTGACCCTAGAGGAGTGGTGATGAACATATCCTGGGTGTACTGTTGGGTTTTTCTTGTAAGACAGAAGATGTTAATGTGTGACTTGTTTTTTTCTGAACTAAAACCTCAGTATTCAGGTGTAATTTCAGAATAGCATCTTGCAGTATGCAAGTAGGTTTTGGGTTTCAGTTTGGGCACTTGTCTCTAAAAGCTTCATTGTCACTGCCTTATAGTTTTTTAAATAGGAGGTTGATTCTGTAGCATTCTCTAGAGATGGACTAGAGAGCTGTTGTTTTGGTTTTAACTAATCTGCAATTTGAAGTGCTTCAATCTTTTGCAGTTTTTTTACTCATTCAAATTGTTCAGTTCTTATCCAGTGGACGCTTCTCCAAGCTGGCCTGAATGTCTTCCACATGATCCTAACAGTCTTGTAGTTTCCTTTCTTTCTGATGTGATGAGGTCTTCACGGCTCATTGGATGCATGCTCCACACTGAATTGGTCATTTCTTCCTTTCCTTTCTTTCATCAGGAAATACATGTAGATCTTTGAGTGCTTAGAACTGTTCATTGCCATTTCTTTTGCTTTTTTAAGGAGAAAATATGAGTTCCTCTTAGTACTTCTAATGTCATTATAGGGTTGCAAAGGTCTTCACATGAAACCACTAAACTTGTGTGTGTAACATCTACCAAAAATAGCAGCTCCCAAAGGATTGTCCAACACCAACACAAATGCATAGAGTAATTCTACCTTACTGGTGGGAGAGACATACCAAGACAAGACCCCCTGGAAGACCTACAACTTTAGATGATGTCAAATCCTATTTATGCTTATTTATTCATATAGATACAAACCTATACTAAAGCTTAATTTATAAATTAGGCACAATAATTTTGTTATAGTAACTCATAGCATAGAACAGTGATGATATGTTGTAATGAAAACTGAATGTGTATCTCTCTCTAAAAGTGCTTTGTTGCCCCATGCTTGTGCTTGTGTGGTGTGTAGTGAGATACCATGGTGGGAGTGATGCAGATAGTGTGAGACAGACACTGGTAGGTTACAACATAAGGTTACTTGCACACATGTAATATGGTGACTATCTGATAACGCAGCCAACAGTTAAATGACTAATGGACAGGTAGCATAAACACTGGGTACAGTGAACAAAAGGTGAGCCATTTCCTAGGTAGGACACAGGGAGAAGTCACAAGATTTCATCACAGGGCTGGGAGGTAGCTCAGCAGTCTTAAGTGCCTGGCTGGCAAGCACAAAGACCTGGCTTCCATCCCAGGTACCACGTGCTTTGCTAGCCACCAAAAACAGGCTTGGTGGTGCACGCCTATAATCCCAGCACTGGAGAGGCTGAGACAGGAGGATCGCTATGAGTCCCAGCTGCATAGTGAGACCCTGTGTCAGATAAATAACTAAAAAATTGAAAAAAAATTTCATCATGCTACTCAGAGTCGCAAGCAATTTAGGAATTATTTCCAGATTGTTGTTCCTCTGTTATCCTTTCCTCCCCCCACTCTTTTTAGTGCTGGGGATTGAGCTGAGCCTCACACAGGCTGGGCACATACTCTGCCACAGGCTGCATCCTCAGCCTAGGATTTTTATATGTAACTATTTTTAGGCCACAGTTAGCCATGGGTTACAAGCTTCAGAAAGCAAAACCACAGTTTAGGGGGAACTGTTGTTCTTTATTCTGTAATATGGACATCACTCCCATCACCCAAGAGATTAGTGGGACTGGTTTTTTATAAGATGGCTTTATAGCTTTTTTGCCCTTCAGCTGTATCTCACTAGAAATGTTCTGTAAGTCCTGTGTTCTAAGACCCCTTCATGGTTATCACAACACACAATCTCACACTTACCAGGCAGGCACTGTGCCTCTGCACTCTGTCCCCAGCCTACAGCACTAGAGCTAAAAAGGAAGTGTTAGGTGTCCTGAAGGAACAGTCTAGAAAGCTTTGAAATTTTCACTGACAGGGAATAAGAGTTGAAGAAAGAAGGTACAGCATAAATAGCTGAGTAAATAGAGTTCCTACTGTGATTGACTCAGTCCATCCAGTAGGAAGATGAGCCTAGTTTTATGATAAAAAAGCTTAGGAAGAAGGGTTAGTTATCCCTCAACAGTAATAGTTAAAGCTAGGTAAGAGACAAGTTTGAAAGGAGATAAAGTAAAAGTATGAAAACAGATGTCACAGATCTTAACAAAGCCCACACTTGGAAAGAAAACCAAGCTAACTGAAGAGATAAACAGGGCCAGGGAGATGGCTCAGTGGAATAAGCGCTTCCCTGGCAAGTGCAAGGGCCTGAGTTCAATCCTCGGTTACACACACACACACACACACACAAAGAGATGAATAGGAGAGGTACTACACACAACATCTAAGAAGCGACAGCACTGATGCTAAAGGAGTTTTTCAGAGATGTGGTAATCTTGGGGCACAGTGTTACAGAGATGACAGTCAGTGTCTCACCATCAGCCTGCTGTACCAAGCCACATGTCCCTGCCTGTATCTGCTGCTTTTGTTGGCAAATCTGCTCTATAAGAGACAGTCTTCAGGATCTTTTTATTTTCTGTTCTTTAAGAAAAATAGGATGTTTTCTTCACTGCTCAGGCCACCTAGATATGCCACTAACAATAATTTTGTAACTATTCTAGGAATAGTACCTTAATTGAAGGTATAATTACTCTCTTCTCATTGTATAGATGTACTTTTTGAAAGCAGAAATTAATTTTTCCAGGACCTTGTAAAATCAGTGTAATCACAGAAAAATTAGGCTTTTGTGTCTGTGGAGGCGCTGGCACCAGAAGCTCTGCAGCACGTGTCTTAGCTGTAAACTTCTGGCACAGGAAAGCCATGCTAATAGACCCGTTCTTTATCCCTAAACTGACACCTTCCTTTCCTTCGGATCACCTTCCTCCAGACAGCAGGTGCATTAATGGCTGTGCAACTTTGGGGAGTCCCTTTAGGGAATTTCCTGTTTTTCCCTTTTACATTTCACACCCATTCCTTGCTCCTGCCGCTACCATCTGCTGTCTTTTTTCTCCTGTTCAGCACTGGCTTCTTCACACCCCACTCCCACGCCCTTTTCCATCTCCCTCCGTCTGTCCAACAGCCCTCTACTTAGACTGCTCCAATGTGTGTATGGATCAAGAGAACTTTCTTTTCTGTCAATTTGCTAAGCTCAGAGGAGAAACAAAATTTACATAGCTTTGGGCCAAGGCCCCTATGAACTTGATGAAACATAATAAGTGGGCAAAAGACAACATAGGTACTAATTTGAGAGGCATTTCTTAAATGGAACTCAAATGTTTATGTACAAATGCACAGAGTCCTACAGTTCTGGGTATGTGCCATGTATGTGTCAAGGTAAAAATAATACCTAAAGCTTACAGTGTTTTTACAACCATGAGAGAAAATAGATGCATCTATAAGGAAAATTACAAAGTAAAGTATGGTGATTGAATCCATGGGCTAAATGATGTTACCCAACAGTAGAGCTCACCATTAAAAATAACTTAGAAATTTAGCTCTAAAACTTGAGCTTAGTGAAAAGATTCCTATCTTGGGATACTTCTTTTAAATAAGTATAAAATATAAAGGTAGAATGTTGAACAAATGGTTATGTGCCATCAGTACACCATTTGCATCATTTGGAGAGACTAGAACTCTTCACTTTAGGGTTAGCAGTGTGGGGGCGGAGTACCTGCATGTTTTGTATCTGAATACAGTGCTTGATTTTATCCCATCTGGTTGTTTTGAGGCAATTTTAAAGCTGGATTATTGCTCTGAGCATCTTTAAATGAGGCTCTTTTTGCAGGAATTTCTGGCATTTGCCAGCATTTCGAAGTGAAGAAGCAGAACATGGAAGCACCAGTACCTTTCTATTTTAAAGTCAGGCACCCACTTTAGTAGAAGTGGATTAATTGGGCTATCGTCAGTTCTTCTGCCATAGTGTCCTTCCATCATCTCAAAGCAAGTATGCAGAAGAGCTGAGAGGAACGATTTGGGACAGATACTGGTAGTACAGGCATCGACAATCTATAAATACACTTTGATTTTAAAATGTTCGTATCTGTTACAGGATATAGAAGCAGCTGAAAAGTCTCTACAGAGCAAGATGCAGTCACATCTACCACCTGAGGTAGTTTCTCTTGAGGTGAGACTCTTAAGAAACAAATATAACTAAATAGACCCCACTCTCTTTAGTGGTGCATTGATTGAAATACTGGACGTATGTCTGTATCTCCCAGATTTATTTATTCAGTAAAATAAACAAGAGTGTTTGGGTTGGGTTTGTGAGGGTTTTTTGTTTTCTTGTGGTTCTGGAGATGAACCCAGAAGTTGTTGGGTTTTTTTTTTTTTTTTTCTTTTCTTTTTTTGGTTTTTTGTTTGTTTGTTTGTTTGTTTGTTTTTTGCAGAACCGGGGATTGAACTCAGACCCTTGTGCTTGACAGGAAAGCGCTTATTCCACTGAGCCATCTCCCCGGCCCCTAAAGTGTTTCAGAAGTTTTAAGCTACATTTCCAACCCTTCTTTTTTTTTTATTTAATTTTAGGCAGGTCTCCTCTAAGTTGCCCAGCCTGGGCTCACACTTACAGTTGTCCTACTTCAGCCTTCCACATACCTAGGATTACTGTGTCCAGCTCTGATTGATCTTTTTTATATGTCTACAAATACCATGTCATATATAGTGGGTAATTAGTATCTTGAAAACAAATTTTGTTTCTTGATCATTTTATAACATGTTATTTTCTTCCCCTGCTTACAGTAATAACTGACCTTTTAAACACAGCATCGTAAGGTGACAGCATCCCCAAAGTGTTTTTCCTCTTCAAAACCCTTAAAAATAGCAGTGGGTCAGTCCCTTCACAAAATGTAACCAGTTATTTAAACCATATTATCAAACAATATAGTGTGGCTTTGGTCTGTTTTATTTAGTTGAGTTCTAGAACAGATTGGGATACTGGTTAGCAAAAATAAACCATTTTTGGTATATGTGTCTGTGATGAGTGGGGATTATTACATACAGAATAGTGTCTTTTAATATCTTAATGATCTTTTTTGAAATTCAAATACGAAGGGCTTTTTTTTTTTTTTTTTGGCATGGGGAGTTGGCTAACTTAGACCGCCCTGAGGGCGGGGCTGGTGTAGCATATGGTGCCAAGGGATCGAACCACCATTCCCTGTGCTTGCCTAAGCTTGCCAAAACAGGCGCTTTACACGGCAGAACTATCTTACCGGCCCTCAAATACAAAGTTTTGTTTTGTGCCCTGCTGTGTATATGTGTAGACTCAAAACTGAAGACTAGGAGTTTGCCCCTCAGTTTTCTGTGTCATCCACAGGAGTAAGAAAAGGCAGTGATTGAGGAGAACCGTGGCTTGGTACTGTCATTGTCCTTGTTCAGGTCTCCAGCACCTTACTCTGGCATGCAGAGGGATCACACATAGGGCTTAGTCCAGCTGTAAATAGTGAAAAGCTCCCAGCCAGGCCTCCAAGGTATTTTTCCTAACGAGTCTTGTATAGCAGGATGACCTGTATTTTAAGTAGGTTAGGCTGACTCTCATACCACATGCATAGATGTATAGACATTTAGAATCCTTCCCCATTTTAACTATCAGACTGCTATAGCTTTTGGTGGTTGGTTGGTTGGTTGGTTGGTTGGTTGGTTGGTTGGTTTGAAACAGGGTCTCACTCTGTAGTTCAGGCTAGCCATAAACTCACTATGTAGCCCAGGCCACCCAGCTTGCTGTACTTTTAAATTCCCAGGGAGTAATTATGTGTTCTTAACGCTGCCAGTAAATTCATTGGCTGAATTTCCCAAGCGGGACTGATAGTTTTAATCTTGTATAAAATGCTCTCCTGTGACACAAAAATTTTGGCAATATACTTCTCATTAACCGCCTTAGAGCAGTTTACCCAAGACTCATCAGAATGCCTACCTAAGGCATGGTGTCACTGCATGAACTGTTACAGCTTACAGACCGTAGAGCCAGATCAGTAGTAAGACCATGCCTTACAGTCCAAGATATTTCTGCATTTTTTTTTTTTTTAAACCAGTGATTGAACTCAGGACTTGGTGCTTGCCAGGCAGGCGCTTAGGCTGCCGAGCTATGTCCCTGGCCTCAATAGTGTTTATATTATACTGATATTCTCTCACCACACTAACTTGAGATAAATAAGTTTGTCTATCAAATTTTATTTTGTTTTTTTCGGGGGACTGTTTTTATTTTGAGATAGGGTCTCACTAACTAGTTTAGGCTGGCATTGAATCTACTACGTAGCCCAGACTGGCCTCAAAGTCATAGTGATCTGGCTGCCTCTGCTTCTCACCTGCTGGGATTACAGGCATGCATCACCATGCCCAGCCTAGCAAGTATTCTTTTAAAAGATACAGAGAATACATATTTTGTACATTCCTGAGGGACCTCTACTATAGCATACTGGCTAGATTTCCCTTCCTAATCTCACCCCATCAAGTCACTGCGTGTTAATTCTGAATAATTTGTTCATGTATAATTATTTTATTGTAATTAATTTCAGTTTGGGTAACCATTTGGTGGAGAATCTGCGACATTAAAAATATTTAATGATTTATAATCATACCACTGGCAATAATCACAAGGTTGGCCACAAGAGGGCGTGTAAAGTCACAATAAAATTTTAAAACCTGTAATTCTGCCAGGCACTGGTTTTACTGAGAAATTGAGAATTAACACCAGTAAGTAGCCAGATTTTTTTTCTAAAATTAACATAAAATATTCTGTAGAGGAAATGCATTCTACATATATGTGTGTGTACGTGCACACACACACAAGTGAATAAACATTTAGACTGTTATGAAGAGCCAAGTTCAATTGCTTGATACGCTTTTTTTATTTTGGATTTTTTTTTTCAGACTTGTTACTGGGCATCAGTGGAAGAATATATTCCCAAATGGGAACAGTTTCTTTTAGGACAAGCACCATATCCTATTAGTGTTGAAAATCAAAAAGAAGCAGAAAACACAGTTCTAAATGGGACACGGTGATAACAGCTTCACACACTATTTCAGAAAACCTCCCTAATGGAGCTCATCTTTAAAGAGCTTCTAGGTAAATGCAGGAACTTGAGGGATCAAGGGTGTTGGTGCTGGTGTGGTTCCATTGACTCTGAGGGACGGAAAAGAGAGGAGCGCCTGCTGAGAAGTTTCTGGCTATTCCCACTATTCGGGATCATGAACTTGCTTTCTGCCAACCCCACAGAACTGTTAACAACTAATATTAAAGTGTTATTAAATAAATTATTAGTCTGCATGTTGTTTAAAATATTTCATCATTTTCATCTAGAGAAGTTGATTCAGATTTTAACAATCTTTAAATATTTTATTATGGGGATAAGACACAGGATCTCAGTCATTGTGTACCTTCCATTAATTTCTTCTAACAAAAACACAGGGACACTGAACTGCTTCAGTAGACAGTAGTAACACTTACTGAACAGTAGGCTCCTAGGATTTCATGCCTCAAAACCTCTAAAAATTCTAAAGATGCAAAGACCAGAACCATAAAGCAGTTACAAGGAGCGGGTTTCAGGAAGGCGAAGGCTCAGACAGACTTGGCTTTGGCAAAGGAGACCTATGAGATCTGAAATGGTTATTGGACATGGAGGCTCGTGGGCCACCCCTGTGAGTGCAGGTATTGCCTTCCTCATCTTTCTGTCATTAAACATGCTCTTCCTTCTGTTGTCATCATTCCTGAGTACACCTGGCAGCAAGCTTTGGTTCACAGCCCTGAACAACTTTACGCTTCCTCAGTCCACCGCTGGGGGGGGAAATGATAATTTTCTAACTGCAGTCAGTCTCCACTATAAAAGTATGTTTGTACTATATGATATTGAATGTTTTAAATTGCAAACTGATGGGTATTTTTAAGGGGAGACAATAGGCCAAGCTAAAAATTAAAATACCACTACCTCAAAAACTATCTTGAAGTGTCCGTGATGGTGCTAAGTTCCTTTAAACAACCATGTTAGAACTATCCTGTTGAGTGGGTGTAGATAACAATGCTGTTGTTTTCATAATATATGCTGGCAGATTAGCACACTCCTCTACAGTGTGAACAGTTGTAATTAAAGAATAAACAGCACAGGGTGTCAGTCCAATGACAGTTCATCCATAGTGTCACAATAAAAAAGTCACAGAATATTAGAACTGTTACATAACTATGAAAAATATCATCTTAAAAGCTGAAAGCCTTTTTAAAAAAAAAAAAAAAAAAAAAAAAAAAAAGACCAAAAGGGGAAAAAAAGAAATAAGAAAACTGATGTATCAATGAGAACAGTCATACCTTCTCAAGAATGCTCTGTCATGAAAATAAATTGAGGATTTGTTTCTGTTACATTACATTTTGGTTTCTAGCCATCCAGTTAATATAGCAGGAGAATGTGGGCTTTTTTAGCAGCTTTGAATTGGTAAACAGATTTAGATGTAGTAGAAAGGAACATGAGGAAGTTGTTGTTGTTGTTGTTTTTAACATCCAATCTTTCCCAGCATATGCACATAGAAGGTGAATGAAGCAACGTGAAACTTAGTTCTCTTTAGTCAAGTGAAAAAAAGACTAAACATTTGTTAGCTGGTAAAATATTGTGTCAAGCAAGTAGGCACATTCCAAAATTAAACAGTGGTTGATACGTTAACATCCTCAAATATTTGAGCATACACTTCCTCTCAGATGTATAAATTAAATCACCAGTAGATTAGATTAAAATACAAAATGGCAATTTAACCACCTTAGAAAGGTTTTGGATTTTTTTTTCTCCCCTAAATTGACTAACTTGCTATTTTTGTTGTTATTTTCTTTTAAGTATAAGTCTAATATGCTGTGGGTTATAATTTAAGGCAGAAATGAAGATATTTTCAGACATCAGCTGTGCCATCTTTCCCATTTTAGTTAATACTTAAAAATCTCTTGTAAATGACTTTATTCCTGGTCCCACGGAGCTGCCCTGCCCAACTCCGCCTTGTAGGCAGCAGCAGATTGCAACACATGCTGTTTCAAAAAAAAAACAAAATCCATAGAGACCTGGATAGCCCATTAAAGGGCTTTATATTCCTCATGGCCAATTAGTTTTACATGAATTTTCAAACATTTCCTGGGAGGAAGGGAGAAATAACATATAAACTATATATATATAGTATGGGCCCATACTGGACCCATACTATACTGGACCCCTTCACTGTCTGCCAGAAAGACTGAATTTGTTTTGGTTTTTTTTTTTAACAATAAGTTTTCAAAAGTCATTTAAATATTTTTTCCCAGATTATTTCTTGGATTGTTTTGACTGCATAAATATTCAAAGCTCATTTTCTTCTGAAACTCCTCTAGTCTATGAAATTATTAAACTATAAAATGCTAACGATCAGAAGACACTTCTATTTTCTTCCAAACTTCAAACTGGTAAGTTTCAGTTAGTAAGAAAGAATCCTACTACTCTGAGAGCCAGACATCTGGTCTTCCTGGTGCACAGGCAGCAGTGGCAGTGGACTGCACACGGATAGTTCTGCTCCACATTGTGCAGTGTTTTAACTCGTCTGCTGACGGCTTAGATGAGGATAATGATCTGTAACTTCCTGTACAGTTTTGTGATTTTTACATCATTCCCCTTTTTCCGTTCAGAAACATAAAGTGAGTATTTGGGCATGTTTAGTTTTGAATACAAATTAAACATTTAGAAATTATTTGGTGAACTGTCACATACTGAGGTGTGTGAGAGAATGAGAGTGTGAGAGACAGAAAGAGGAACAGTTTCTGACACTACCAATTTCCAAGGAAGACGCCAGGATCTAAACCGCTCTGAGCTAGGCTTGAGTGCATAAAATTTGATGGAAAGGGCCCCTGAATTTGGATATCTACAAAATATACTTTCCATTTATTAATTTGTCTTTTTACCGTAAACAAATTCACAACCATCTTATTTAAGACAAATCTTTTATTGAAAAAAAAAATTTATGGAACCCTTCTTTTAAGAATAGTTTCGTATAATTGCTGTGTGTTTGAAAACATTCTTCAACCATCTTCTGGTTTTTAGCTCTTCCACTTTAATTAGGGTACTGAGATATCTTTCTAAAAGAGTAGTGAATCAGAATCTGCTTGGGTGACAACCAGGGGATGCTTACCTGCAGGAAAGGATCTACAGAAGATGGAGGTGACAAGGAAGAGGAAAGATTACTGGAGAATATTTCAGGTTGGAACAAGGGGTTCCAACCACCTCCCATGGTTTTGTTTCCCTAATAATTTAAAAGTTAATTTGTCTACATAGGAAATTTAATTCCCATTGCTAATAAAAGACTATTTAGAGTTTTCTGAGACAAATAAGGGGACATGTCAAACTTCAACAATTAAGGAGAGGATTGATTTGTGGGTTTGACACTTAATATTGTGCTTACCCTTTCTAACTGGAACTGAGATTATATCCTTAATAAAATCCAAGAAAAGAAAAAGAAATCCAACAAAGCCAAAGGCCCAGAATGCTTCCGGAAATCATCTTACCATGCAGAGTCAAATTTCCCTGCTTTCACCTAAGTTAAAGCAATGCGTTAAAGTTCTTGTGATTTGAAAAACTCAAAATTCATTTCTCAGACAAAGACAGAGACAATTGCTGTGAACATAGATTGCATATTGACCACTTTACAATAGTTGTGTTGAGAGAGAACCATAACATGTACTTATTTTAGAATGTTATGATGTGTTTCTCTATTTGAAGTATTTTTTTATTAAAAATTTTTTGAAGTTTTTTTTATTATTATTCCGCCCTACAGTTAAGTTTCAAGGTATAGATTTTTTGGTATCTTACACAATACCACTTTAGTGATAATACAATCAAGGGGAAACAAAATTCTGTTAATGTATTTTGTCTAACACATTTCTATTTTCTTTCATCTCCCAAAACTAAATGATAACAACAATGCAGTACAGGGGACTGAGCCCAGAACTTTGCACTGAGCTTCACCGTGCGCAGCAGGCACAGTTCTTAAGTACCAAAAATACAGCACAGCAAGGAGTAAAGGAAAGACACAAGTCTACACCCTTGTGCTCTTGGTTCTGGCAGAGGCGCTAGGGGGAAGGGATCGAAGGTAAAGACAGTAGCAAAAATATGGGATGGTAAGAAAGTGGCATCAACACCCAAGGCATCGACGCAAGAAAAGAAAGCAGCCCGCAGCAGCAGCAGCCCGCAGCAGCAGCCCGCAGCAGCAGCAGCGCTCCCATGCTTCCCTTGGTGTCTTCCTTCCTTACAGTGGCCTGCAGCTGAGGCTTCTCAGGGAAACAAAATTTCTACAGCTACCAGTTTGGACGTTTTATAATGAATAAATTGATGATAAAGAGAACACAAATTCTCACTATTCTGACACTTGCTACAGCTTGGACTAAGCGTGGAGACATAAGATTAGGTGAAATAAACTGAAACCAAGGAATTAATACTGTGTTCTACTTACTCACAGGTACCTACAATAATCAAATTTATAGAGACCAGAACGTAAAATTGTGGTTGAACTCTGCGGAAGAGCCCAGACTTTCATTTGGGGAACATGAAAAATCTCTCGAGAGAGGTGGAAGAGAAATGCACCACGTGTGAACACGTGTCATGTCCCTGAAATACATGTTGAAAAGTTAGGGAAAGGGCAAATGTCATGCTGTGTACGGTAACTGCAATAAGCCCTTTATGAAACTAACTCGCACATATCCATGATATAATCTTGTTATTGGTAGGCGGGCTCGCTGGCCAAATAGCTCAGCGGATTGAAGCACCTGCTTATGCAGATGCAGCGGCCAGGAGTTCCATCCCTGGTCCTGCCAGGCCAGCCCCGCTCCCGGGGCGCGCTGAGAGGGCCATTGAGACTGGGCGTGGTGGCGTGCGCCTGTAATCGCGGCTATTGGGAAGCTGTACACAGGAGAATCCCTGTAAGTGCAGTCTACACAGTGAGACCCTGTGCACCTTGTCCTAAACACAAAACTAAAGAAAAATCTTGTTATTGGTGATAAATACATATCAGCAAGGTTAATTCCTTCTCCCAAGTCAGGGACAGGTCACATATGCTCACGGTGCTTCCTGTAAGTACAACAGAACACTTAGAGTCTTTTTTCAGTTGCCAGGAGAAAATACTTGACACACAAATTCAAAGGCGGAGCAGCTTATTTGGGCTCAGGTTCCAGAGGATTCAGTCTATGCTCATTGGCTCCAAGGCGGAAACTTCACAGCTGCGGAAAGCTGCTCGGCCTGTGGCA